CCCACTCACACCTGATCCTCATTTTCTTACCCAGGTGTTTCTTGTTTTAGCTCATTAGTTCTTCCTTTATATTCTGTCCTTTGCCCTCAGTCTTTGTCAGATCCTTGTTCTCTGTTTACTGTTGTCTCATGCCAWGCCAAGAATCTTGTTTGCTGCCACGTCAGCACTTTTGTTATTGTTGCTATAAACCTGTTTTGCCACCCTCACTCAGTCTTGCATCCTGGGGTTCAAACCAACAAARCTCAACTTTAGCTTCTTGTMATTTTTAGCTTCAGCACATCCTGTCAGGCTTTTTTTTTCTCCCTTTAGAAAACAGATTTGCTGATCTTGTCTGTTGATTCCCTCTCCTCCATGTGGACCCAGTGAAGTGCAGCTGGGACCCACAGGGAGCCCACATGGCCCTCTCTGACCTTGTGGTCGTGGCTGTAGGCTAGGATCCAGTCCTCCTGCTCGGGGTGGAACAGCAGGCTGAGGATGTAGAAGCTCAGCCGGTACTTCTGGTACGTGGCTCCTTCATCRGAGCTGATCAGAAGGCTGCTCTCCACCTCTGGGTCCGTCAGCAGCATGATCTGCAGAAATTACAGCAAATTAGAGACGAACAAGRACCAACTTTAGTTTGGATGCATCAGACCAAACTAACAAAAGAAAAACAAACCAGAGCTTACAGAACCCTGGTGGCAAACATGAKTTCCTTTACTCCAAAACAACTGTGAGGTAAAAGGTCCAACGTTCCTTGAAGGGATGCAGCTCACCTGTCACCTCTCAGCCCACTCTTTACTCTGACAGCATCTTGTGTTGAACTTCATCACATTCTGTGCAACTTTACACTGTCGATGCTTTTTATTTTTTGTGATTTATTTGTGCTTGGAGTAAATTTTAGAATGACTCCCTGCTACAAACAAATTTAGCTCAATATTTATAAAACTGATGCATTAAAGACATGTTGAGTTGGCTCATGGATTAGTAGTTTTTGTCTAAATATATCAAATCTGCCTTCWTCTGGTTCATGAGATACTTTGCTAATGACACACAAGTACATGCACACACACACACACACTACCAGATGACATCTGATGCAGAACAAACATCAGATGAGGTTTCTCGTGGTTTTTTTATTCATTTCATTTAAAACAAAAAAGTTTACAGAGAATACAAAACTTATATCACAAAATAAAATGAAAGGCAGCAGAACGAAGAAAAAATCTTGTATCTGCCCCTTTTTTACAAAGAAAAAAAGAAGAAAAAATATTAATCTTCAAGTTACAAAAATACAACAAAACAGAAACAACAACAAATAAAACCTACATAAACACCCCTTATTCTAATTCATATTTGATCAATAAACCAAGTTTAATCATTCTTTTAAACACAAACAATGATCYAGCATTTCTAACATCACTCTCCAGATCATTCCATACTTTCACTTCCTGTATCGACGTACACCGTTCCCTCAAACTTGTTCGAAATCTGTGCTTCACAAATATTTCATTTCCTTTTAAATTATAAGAGCTTTGTCTTTTAACAAAATTTAACTGTATATTCAAAGGTGGCATGTTTTTATGAGCCTTAAACATAAGCTGTAGAATACTGTAATCAACCAACTCGTGAATTTTAATAGTTTCAATTGACAAAACAATATTTTTGATGGGTGACTGTAGTGTTTTCTAATAATAACTCTTATTGCTCTTTTCTGCAAAATAAAAATGTGGTTTATTATCGTTTGAGATGTTTTTCCCCGTATTTAAATACAATATACAGTATGAGATGTGGAACTATTGTTGCATTATACAACATATATAGAGATTTGTCATTGAATAACTCTCGAGCTTTGTACAATACTGCAATTGATCTAGCTATTTTTACTTTTAGATTAATTATGTGTGATCTCCTCCAAGTCAGCTTCTCATCGATAACGACACCCAGAAACTTAACTTCACTGACTGTCAATTGTGGTTAGGAACAGACGAAAAGTTGCACCCTGCAGGTTGTTTGGCCTCAGAGTCTGAGTGATGCTGCAAGATTAAAGTTTCCAACCAATATAGTCTACTGTGAAATATACACACACGCACACACACACACACGCACACACGCACACACACACACACG